GTAAAGCAGATGTGTGGTGAGTTTATATGACCACTATCACTGTAACGTAGATTGGTGAATGGCATGCTGTTTATAATTTATTATGTCATCTAGCATAACTTAAATAATGTGAAATATAAACACATGATTATATTAAAGGTTAAAAATAATATAAACTAGGTCTCATCTTACAAGACATTCTTTATTTAGCCTCCAAGTAAAAAATAAATGTTTTAAGACTCTTACCCCAAGATTCAAAGACGTGGATCCACAGCCCCATGCAAAGTAAACTTTTTTAAAAACTGCTATTAAAAGAGTCTTTCAGATTTAAAATCGTAACTTTATCTATGAATATTAAATTTTCTCTTCCATCAGGAGCTTGGGTTGCACTATTGTAGAGATGCTGACCATGAAACCACCGTTCGCAGAGTATGAGCCGTTTGCAGCAATGTTTCAGATTGCCACGTGCAAACAACCCAAGTATGAGCTTCCCGGGGGCTCCTCGATTCCCGTGAGAGAATTCCTCCAGCAGACATTTCAACGAACCGGTTCAGAACGTCCATCAGCGGAAGCTTTACTTGAACATAGATTTGTGAAAGACTTGACTTAATAAAAGAAAATTCACTATAGGATTTCTACAATTGTATGTTTTGAAAGTGAGACACAATCCAGTGCTGGAAGTCTGGAAAGCTTCACAAACTATTTATAAAACAACATACCATGAAAGATGAATCATTAAGAGAACTAACTGAATGATTCATTACTTTTCTATGGTGAAACTAATATTTGTATTTCATTATGACTTGTGCTTCAATGTTTAATGGATAAGGAGACCAAGTCATTCACCGATGGCTGTGTTTCCTTTAACACAATGAATATAAGAAGGGATTTACTCGTCAAGTCTCTTGAACTGGATCTTTTTGATGATCAGATGAGTTCATCAAATCAGTTCATGCTTGAAAGGATTTAATGGAGCAAGATTAACATGCTGCAACCATTAGAAGCAATATTGATGGCTCTCATCTTTTTTTTTTTTTTTTAAATTTCCAGTTTGCTCCCCTGGTACAAAGACTCTCATTCATTCGCATGTGCTGGATTTTTCAGGATTCATGTCTCTACGGATATATTAATCAGTGTGGAACATCTCAGTTTCTTATCCATGCTGGTGATTTTTATCCACTTGCATGTGGAACATTATTTTTGTTTTTCTAAATCCTAAAATGTGTGCAGGAGGATCAACAAAAGAGAGTTGAAAGATGTTTCCTTTTGGATTTCTGTGGAACAAACCATCAGTTGGATACAGCTCTCTGTGTTCTGTCATAATGGATAACCAATTCACACTTTGAGAAGAGACATGATTGTAATTGAATCAAGTTGTTGTCTCTGTGTGATTTACTTCTATTTCCATCCCATAACAGAAAAAAAAGCAATACAAAACTATAGTATACCGCACTTCAAATTTACAAAATATTAGGGGCTAAAAACAAATCCTCATTGAATATGTAACACCTAATAATAATCTTATTTTTGTATACATATATTTTTTATGTACTTGAGAAATTTTGATTAAATTTTAGTGGACACATTTTTTTTATCAGAAATGCCTACCATTGAACAACACAACTTTGAATACTGCCAACTTTAAGGGCTGTCACTGCAGCCTTCTTTTGATATTGTGATGTTTCCAAGGCAAACATTGCCTGATTTGGTATTACATTGCTTTGTCTACTTTTTCTCTCATTTTTCATTCATAAGCTGGCCAGGAATGTATTAGGGTGGTAAAATGCTGTTTGGTGTGCAATTTTTTTTCTCAATATTATTTGATATTGGAATTTGCACATAAATTGTGTGGAGGTTGGTAAGCCCATGTTGTAGTAAGGGATTGATTAATGTGTGAAGCTTATTCGAAAGTCATGTGTGATGGTGTCCACTTTATACATGTGTGTGTGTCTGTTGGTAAACATTTTTAGTAGCTGTTACTGAGGCTACTTTGAGGGGGAGGAGGAAAAAAGTTCTACTTCAATTGACTAAAACCCATACATATTTTATAGATGGGGGGGGGGGGGAAGAGAGAGGGGGGGGGGGGGTCCCCCAATAGGTTCTGCTTTGGTTTTAGTTTAATACCCCCCCTCCCCCACCCCCAACAAAAAAAAAAAACAACTCCATTTTGGAGGAAAAAAGTTCTACTTCAATTGACTAAAACCCATACATATTTTATAGATGGGGGGGGGGGGAAGAGAGAAGGGGTGGGGGTGTCCCCCAATAAGTTCTGCATTAGTTTTAGTTTAATACCCCCCCTCCCCCAACCACCAACAAACAAAAAAACAACTCCATTTTAATTGCACTATTATCAATCTACCACAGTTTGAGCTGTGCAATAAAGCATGAGTTTAAAAATAAAAGAATTCATATAGCATTAATTGAGGAACAATCTCCAAAGCTGTTTTGTGTGTGTGCTTTTTATCCTTGATACTTTGGTGTTTTAGGATGTTGTTAAACACCTTTAATTAAGAATTCAAGTATAAAAGTTAGGTATGATTACTTCATTAGGCATGATCAATTCTTTTCTAGTAAATACTTATTTTAATTTTTAAAATTTAGATTTAAGAGTAGAATTTTATAAAAACTTCTTACATCAATAAAAGTGGGCACTGCTGTTAAATTCAAAAATTGTATACATCGAAAGTCAAGTTTTCAAAGTGTTTAGCCAAGAAAGACAAGTTAAATGCTATGAAAAACAATGTTAGAAAAATGATTGGGTAAACAAGATTTAAAATAAAATTTAATGTGATTTGGTTGGGGTCACCTTTCAGTGCCATGACACTCCCCCCCCCCCCCTCTCCCCCATTATAAAGGTATGTTAGAAAAAAATCATTTTTTTTATATATTAAAAAAAACTATCACTAAGGTAATGTATCTTCTCGTACTTCTTTACTTTCACTACCGGTGCCAGAATGTCTCTTCTGAATGAACCCCAAATAAAATGCTTGAAAAAAATGAACCCCAAGAAGAATGCTTGCCCAAAAAATGAAATTATAGTTTTATGATTAAAAACTGGAATTATGAAAAAAAAAATTTTAAGATATAATTTTAAAGCTAATTTGTTTGTCAAATTCACCAATTACTGAATGGTCATAAAAATGTATGAAAACAATAAGGATAAATTTAATAGTTGGTCTTTTAAAAATTATTAAACAAAGTTTAAAGCCTTTCTCTGGTGTAGTGTCACCAAATAATTTTTCTCCATTGCCTTAACTAATATCTGTTTGAGTGACACGAGAGACTTGTTGAAAAAACTAAGAAAGTAATAAAAGAATCTTACATTGTAATGTTCCCACTCTGACTTGTCTTGCATGTTAACAAGGTTTGTTAAAAGTTTGTTTCAATTAAATTCTGCTGAATTTGAATGAATTTATAACTTTTATTTTAAGGCCGCAACTAATCTAGTTTTGTATTTCACCCTTTATACAAAAATAATATTATATTTTTATCCATTCTTCATCTATGCTGCTGCTGAAAAAATCTTCCTTTTATTTGGGAAAATATCTTATTTTTAAAAAAAACAACTGAATTCTTCCTTTTGCTAAGAGGAGAAATTGTTTGTGTACATAATGAGCATGTTGAAGCATAATCAAAAATGTGATACTTCTCTTTCTATTCATTGCCTGAGTGTTTACATCACCACCTTATATTAATGTTGTTCGATTGGAAACTAAAATTCTTAGCATAAAAATAAACATCCGCATAATGTACAGTTTGATTAGTTGGGAAATACATTGTAATAGTTTTGCTTTTGTGTTTTACTGGAAAATATTTTGATGAGGAAATTCATGCTTTTGCCTAGGCCTTTCAGTACAATTTAAATATGTGGGATTGAAAGTGAATTTTAAATGCTTCAGAATCATTGAATCAGAATAAAATGAAACTTATTCAATACCAGAAATGACTCCCAAGACATTTTTTGTGTGCATTTATACTACTTTGCCACTCTCATTTTAAATAAAGATCTCAGTTTAAATGTTTAAAAGAGTAAAATTGAAATGAATTTAATATTTATACAGTTATATTATTTTTTTTTAAATAACTCACCGTTTAATGCTAGACTTAACAGGGTACTTTAAATATAGCTTATTTGGTCAATTAATATATATACTATAAGAGACTTGAAATTTTTTTTAAAGAGTATTTAAGATAATAAGTACATGTGGAAATAAAGTTATTCTTTGTATGATTAGGTTAATGGTTCTGAAAGTATTAAATAAAGAGTTGGAAATTACTAGTACTTTTTCAAAAAATTTATGCTAACTCATTTTAAATGATTAATATTACAATGTTGTTATTTAAAATAACTTAAAATTTTTAATATTATTTTGTTAAAACTCTTTGGTTATCTAAAATTTAATCATTAAGTAACATTTCTATGATTGCAGTACTTCTTAGAAACCTATTTGTTAAAAAATAATTAATTCTGAGAACTTGCATGTTGCACGGTTGAACATTTTTACCAGGAAAGGCTACACATTTTCTAAGCTAATTCAAAACTTTTTTATTGCTAGATTTATATTCTTTTCTTTTCTTTGCATTAATCATATTTTAGATAAATAGTTAATTTGAATAAAATCTTGCTTTTTGGTCCCTGCACATTAGAAGTAATACCAATTACTTTTCAAATACATTGTGATTAGGAAAAGAAGCTCATAAACAAATTGTTTTTAATTTACACTTTGTTGAATGGTATATTATTTAGTCTTAAATAATTTTGATAGAGTTGTTTTATTTAAAAGGAGAATTAAAATAATTCTTTTTTTCTATTGTCTAAAACAATACTGTGCAGAACCATCTAATTTACGAATACTTCCTCAACTTAATGTGTTAGTAAAGAGAGGCAGTTGCAAAGAAAGAAAAGATGGGGTTTTTTTCTCCATATTTTACACTTCAAACATTTCAGATGGCAAAGTCATTGGTTTTATGTGGAAAATATAATAAACAATAAGGAGACTTAAAAAACTATTTTCATTCTTTATTGTATAAAAAGCAAAATGAATTTTAAATGACTGTGCTTTCAAACCTGTTGAATGATGACTATGCATCACTAAATATTTATAATTTAAAAAAACATTAACCAACAATGTATTTTGTTAGAGGAGGTATGGCTAAGTTTTAAAAAAATGTATTTGTATATTTCAAGTGCCATGTGCATTAAAACTTGTATGGTCCTTTTAGATGCTGTTATTTAAAAATTTACTAATAGTAATAGAAATGTTAACAAAGAATGTGTAAAGAAAAAAATAAAGCAGAACCAGCAGTAGCTCTTTCTCTCTTTCAATATATAACTATTATATCTTACATCTGAGGCAGTAGTAGGCAACTAAAATGTTCAATAATGCAATATGTGTTCTTACTTGTGTAATGGAAGTAATTTTTTTATAAATAATGAAAGAACTGAATTTTTTTAATTTTCAAATTACCTGATATCCAAAATCTATTCAAGTAATATCATTTGCAATTAGTAACGACCTTTAGCAGTTAAATAAAGTTAACTCCTATAACAGCAATAGTGCTCTTGGATACATGAAGAATAGTAGGGTGTGATGTACCTTAGAGCTGTACTAAAATTTTCCATTATTTGAATGATTAATTGTTTGAAGATTTCTATCTTACAAGGTGTTTCATCTTATAATCCCACTGAATATCTATAACATAATTCATGCCTGCTGTAGCATTTATCATTTTTTATGCAAATTGTGTTATCCAATTCATAATTGAAGTGTTGTAATAACTATGCAAAGCGGGGGAATTTCATATTAGCTAGTGTTAGGAATTGAATTTAAAAATTTAATTTATACTTAGTGGAACCTGTACAGGCAATTTTTTTCTCTAATCATTTAATGATATATTTATACTTAATATGTTGATTGTTACTTGACCTGAATGCTGTACAGTGATTTACAAGGCTAATTATCATGACTTTGTCATTATTTAATTCATTCTCTTGTCATTGCGTGAAACCTGCAATTAACATATTAAATTTTTTTCTAATTTTCAATGTGCTCTTTCCAAATAATGTAACAATCTAAACATCTTTTAAAACAATTTTTATGGTGTCATATTAAATTATATTCTAATCCCTAAAAGACTAGGAAAAATAAAATGAGGCTCCCAACTTGGATCAATTGCACACTTTGGAAGTTGGGGATGATTCCAGTAAAAAAAATTTTCCCTAGGCACTGGGAAATGTGGTAAATTTTTTGTTGTGGTAGTTAAAAATATGAAAATATTCAGGAGATTATCAAAGGATTAGCCAGATTTGCAAAATATGTCTCAAATTATTATGTTTATTTTAGACTCATACAAACAAATACTATTTTTTCGTGATCAATTTCTTTAAGTTTTCAATTTACAGTCCTTATGTGAGTATAGCTGCACTTCAAAAGATTCTATGTCATATTGAACATCATCTGTGTCTAAACATATTATTTTTATCAAAGAAAGGATGAAGATTAAAATTGAGCTCCTAAATAAATATTCACTGCTTGTAACCCATTTATAATTATCTGCCCAATCTGACATCCCAGAGGAGGATTCTCTCTCTCACTGACAGCACAAAAAATTGTGTTTTTCAATTTTTAAAAGAAACAAATAAGTGAATTGTATTAAGACAAAATGGTTTCATTTTGACTAGCAACTGGAGTTTACTTTGGCAGCGCTAGTACATGGTTCAGATTAAATTGTTCCAACAACTAACAAAATTTAAAATATTATCAACAAATAAATTGATAAACATGAAAACTGTAAAAAAAAAAAGTGTCCAAAATAGTAAATTTGTAAATGAGACTAAGATAAGCCAAGGCTGTGCCTCAGTAGTTTGGGGCCTCTAATTAAAATTCTGTTAGCTTTTAAAAAATGTATCTGTGCTAAAAAATCCAGATGATAAAATAGTTAAATCTGATTATCCTATTCGATGATTTTAAAACATTTAATCCTAGCTAATACCTTTTCTTACCGCCAATTTGAACAAGTGCCTTTTCATTAGATTTACAAATTTTATTTGTAGATTGGTAAAGTAATACATAAGAAGGAGGAGCATGACTTTATGATATCATTGGTATGACTTTATATCATCTTTATGACTGCATGATTCTTGTTTTTGTTTCTTCTATGCATAAAATAAATATATATATAGAACTTAAATAACTTTCAATGAGGAATTGTATATATATACATATAAATAAATATGATAACATAGGGCTTTATGACTTGAGTTTGTAAATTATATATTTTCTGTGATTTAGCAAAATTACAAATAAATATTTTTGTGACTAAACGTCAAGGGAAATCATGTATTCAAGGTTCAGGATTAATTTATCATGGTCACTCAAAAATATTAAGAGAAAATTTCATTTTAGAGTTTTTATTGATGATAATGGTATATACTTCAAAAGCCAACTTCTTTTGGACACATTTCAGGGGAAAAATAGGGGTGGTTGGCTCATGAGCAGGTCATAGGAGATTTGTATAATTTTCTCCAAGTACCTTGATTATATCAGAAGTCAATGAAACCGTGTTTAAAATTGGCAGAGTGAAAAATTGGGTCACACGTTTTGTCCTCATTTTGTGTTTGCAGTGATCTGGCTGTACTTAGGGATGATCAAATTACCTACATTGAATAATGAAATTGTAATGGTAGATTGCAGAGGTCCTATTTTTTAAAATATTTCGGTATGGTTACCGTATATAGCGGTAGACATGTGAAGCGAGTATCTGTGTTAAACATAATACTGTATGTTCAGTGTTTTTAAGTCAGTTGACTTACACAATTATTTTGAAAAAGTTTTGTTTTTTAAAAAGTTAATTATTTTCATTAGTTCAGTATTGCTTCAGACTGCTTTATGGGGTTGGCTTAGTAGAGGGTACACACTTTTCAGGATTTTCCCAGCTAAAACTAAGAGGGTCTGATTATGAAGAGTATATAAGGTAGGTGGTATTGCATGACTTGAACAGTTTTTATAAGGTTAGGCTATTCATTTTTTCAAAATAAAATTAGTTTTGTTTTTAATTGTGAGTTTGATTTGAATGAGAAAACATGTTAGAGAATAAATTTATTCTATTAGCTATCTGTATTACTCTTTTAAATGAAACTGATTTTTTTAAAATGTTTCAAAATCAGTATTTTGTAAAAGCAGGCATGCACATGAAATTATTGCTGCTGCTTTTTAAAAATAAGATATTTTAAGAATGTACTTTCAGATTTATTTGTTACAAGCTCATCTAAATACCATGTTAGACAATATTTAAATTCTTATGATGTATTTTACAGTGGGCAGTCTGCTGAAAATCACATTACCATAATAATCATTTGCCTTCAAAGATCAGCTAGGTCTAAGAATATATTGACAAAACTGGTACTTTTTTTTTTTACTCTGTTCATTGCACAATATGACATTGTTGGGTGTTTTCTGCACATAATGTAGTTAACATTGTAGTTCAATTGAGGGGTAATGTTTAGAAATAACATGTTGTCCCTTGAAGTTAAAGTGAACATTTTTGCTCTCAAACAAATTTTTCTATGAGTAAGTTTTCAATTAAATTGCCCCATAAATCAATTAGTTATGATCATTGATGTACATCCTTTGTTTTGTTCTTTGGATACTAATTTTATTTTACTACATATTGAAAATGGTTCTAATTTTTTGATGTTGTGCATTTTGAAGTTTAAATAAAAAAGTATGACTAATGCTAGTAATTGATATATGTATTAGGACAGTCCTTTGTAATTAATTGATTAAGGTAAAAAATTTCTTTTTTATATTTCTGTTAAAGAGTTGTTTTAGTTGTTTATAATAAAAGGCTTTAGTAACAACAAAGTGAACTGATAGCAGGAAAAAAGGGAGAAGGAACCTACAAATTATAACAGATATCCATAGTTAAATGCATGTCATCATGAAAATTGACTTTACCAGTACCAGACTCACTTGCTGTGGAGTCATTATTTTACATATTACATCTACTCTCAGACCAGATGTGTCCATGATTCATATTTAATCATTATTCTCAAATCCAGGAAAAATTTATAGAGCAGGTGTCAAAAATTTTTTTTAAATTTTGAAATGAAAGAGTTTTTCTTTTCTTTTTAAATTTCCTTTGTAGATGTTGTGTCTAAAAAATAGGTTTAATGTTATGGTTTGTGGGATGGTACATTCCTTTAGAAAACAAAATATTTTTCCTTACTTACCCGAGTTACTTAAACAACAGAGTGAATGAAAATTCTAGGCTTGTACTTAATTTTTCCTGTCATCTCCAAAAAATAAACTGTTAAATAATCATTCATTTCAATACTTTAATGTCTGCCACAGACCAAGTGAGTTAACTTTATATGATTACAAGGGTGCAGATGTCATAACACTGAAATGTGATTTAAAAAATAAAATATATTGTAATGTGCTTTGGTGCGCGTTGCCCATGTTGTAATTTATTTTTAAATGTTCACCAAAAAAAAAATTTTTTTTTTTAAACCTGCTGAAATCTGTTTTTCCAAGAAGACATGAAAATATATTTTCAAATACCATTGCTACCCAAACATTTTTCTGCAATATTAACAGTGGGTGAGGTTTCACCTGAATAATCTAGAGATAGAGATGTTACAACTTCAATAGATCAACAGGATAAATGGGAATTTTTTTAATATAATGCAATCTTTCACTTTGTTCTATTTTCACATGATGTGTTCCCCGTTACAATATAACTTTATATCTTTAAATTTGAAAAAAAAATAATTTTGTCAAACACAGGTTCGGCTATGCATGATAAATAATACCAGTGTTTTAACATGTTTTTTTTGCCATTAATGCTCTCATCATTATTATATATAATAAACAAAACTTTTTGTATGATAATAAATACTGAAACAATATTGAAGGGATATTCCTTTGTTCTTTTTGTGTGTCAAAATAATTCTGCTTTAAAAAAAAAAAAATGGCAAAGGCCACAAAGCAAATTGTTGCTCAAAGGCCAAACAAATATTTGGAGTAATATTTTAGAATTGTTTCTACAATATGCTTGTAAAGTTTTATTTCTAGAAGTTAATTTTTCAGCTAACATGAGCAGTTCAAATCAATTTTATTAGAGTCCTTTGGTGCCTTGTTAAAAAGTTTGATTAGCTGAAACATGGCGTCTTGGGTGTATCCCATCCAAAAGCCCCATCTTTGACACCATCTGATGTATTCTGTGACTTCTTGGTGATTCCTGCTTTGGCCAATCTGCCAGAGTCACTTGGGGGAACTGTCTTACTGGCAATATGATTAGACTTTCCCGTCTCCAACCAAAACAAGTCCTCTGTAATAATAAATATTGATTGAGTAAGACACGAAATTCCTATACTTTGAACAAATTATTTTTTTTTTAAATTATGTAGTCATAAAGTGCATTTGGTTTTGTTAAATTCATTAACTTCACTACAATATTAACACTACACAAATTGAACATTGCCAAAAAATTCTTTCTGTTTTTTATTTTTATTCACCGCTGCTAAAATAACTTAATAGCTGTACATTAGCTGTTTCGTGGCTAAAAAAGAATGATAAGCTGAAAGATGGCTAATGGTCTCTTGGGGTCAAGGCCAACTGAGTGGCCTTTTATCTCACAATGTGTGATGTCAAAATATAAACATGAGAAAAATAACAAACATGTGGGTGTTAGGTGGGGGGAAGCTGAAGCAAACAAACCTGGGGAAAGGTTATATGGATCTTGATTCATTTCCTGGCATTTTGGGTCATTCTGAGGACCTAATGTCCACAAAGATTCGATGTCATAGTACTCCCTTGTATCACCATAAAAAACATGGAGGACTATGTTACCTGTGGATGGGAAACAGTCAACTAATTAGTATCCTAATTTCTATCAACAATTCTGTCTTAATGACTTAATGTCTAGTCAAGATTTTACACAGGTTTTCTTACTTTGCAATCAACTATATAGAAAAAATTATCAGGAAATTTAGATAAAACCTATTCCAGATGCTACAGAATTATACGCAACCAAAGCTATTGACAATAGGATTAGTAACTGACATGAAGCATAGTTTTTTTATTCACTAGCTTCAAAGCAAATCAGTTCTTTCTGGCAAAGGAGAACACTAATGAAATACATCTTTCAGTAAAAGATAATTATTATTCTACATAGTTTCAGTTAGTAGTTGAATCTCTGTCTGTGAAAGCAGAGCGTCTCTGAGGAAACTCGGGGACGTCCATGCGAAAGCAGAGCGTCTCCGAGGAAACTTGAGGACGTCCACTTGGGGTTTTGCCTCTTCATGGCATGACGGACTAGTAGGGAGGTACTGTTCTTCGGAAGCTAAAATACCCTGGCCAACTGCTTGACTCCCAACTCAACGGGAGTAGTAACGATGTAACATAATTACTCGCCCTTAATAAATATGAGGTTTGGGTGGCGGTTAAAACCCATGCCAATGATTTTAGCCATGCGGCCGTGAGAAAGACGCTCCTAGGCAACCGTTTCGTCGCAACCGAAAGACTCATTGGGCAGTGGGGGATGGTAACGCAACACCTCTCCGGAGTGGAAGCAAATCCGCCCAGACCCAAGGGAAAGTGGATCGCGAACGCTTTAAACGCAGCAGTATCGGTCGACCGGACATCCCCCAGGCCAGGTGCCGCACGGTCTGGCAGCGGGAAACTTATTTAGTAGTTGAATCTTAAGGCTGATTGAAAGGGCATGTTAACTTCCAAGGTATTATTCTCACTCACCCATATCCATTGCAGACCAGTCACTTTTGCCTAAGCCTTCTATGTTTAGATTGGGATCATTAGGTGCCTTCTTTCGTTTGTGCTAGAGAATTGTATAAAGATACATATATCAATTTCATGAAGCAAAAAATCTTAGCCTTAATTTACCTTTAAAAGATAAAAAAAAATTCAGTTTATCTTTTCACAATAATGCTATATCAAATCTGGAGTACTTTAATGGTGATATTTTTCTTTAAGTTTTTTTAAACTTGAAGGTGTTTGCAGTTGTGCTGAAACAATAATGGCACTTATATTACAATATTTTTTCCCTTGAGTTTTGTTTTTAAATGCAGGATGTATTCATCACAATGTTAAAAATTATCCTGAGTGGGGATCAAAATTGTAATACTGCCATGAGAGCTTGATAACCGATTGAATGCACTATTGAGCCTATATTATGCAATTTTTGTGTAGGTTCCCAGTTCTACACCCTCCATTAACTTATCAACTGCTTTTTAAGAGCACAGTGGACATTAGAAATAATATTTGAATTGAAGGAGAATAAGCCATCAATTTGTTTTTTTTCATTCCCCTCTCTCTATAAACAGCATGTTCAATTATGATAGCCAAAAACTATCACTGAAATGAATCCAAGGTATTCAAATTTCACATAACTTGATTGGTCATAGTATGTGCATTCCATGAATTGTACAGTTAACAGATCTGCACAAATTTGTTTGTCATATTTTTAAGCTAAATTATATATGCAATTCCTGATCCATACAAATTTGTAATACATATATTGTGGAAATAGTTAATGACTGGTTAGCCAAACCTAGAAAAATGTTGGCATGGAGATACTGAAGATGATAAACTATCAAACAAACAATAAAATAATAAGTGTTATTTTTTTAAAAACTTAAATTCACCATCTTTGACAGTTAACTTACCACCCATAGCATTTCATCATTTATAGCACTGAGGTGTCGCTTAGATTTTGCTGAGGCAATAACCATGTGGTCGCAAAACCGAGCTTCTGGAGGAATTGGTAAAGTCACAACATTTTCTGCTCCTAAATCCTCCAAAAGGACTAACAGCTCATCAATGTCAAAAACACCACTGTTTCCACCTATTAGGAGTGATGTTAGATTATATAGTATTAAAAATTTCTCATAAAGAAAAAAAAAGAGGTAAATTAAAAAAATTAATTTAAAATACTGCTAATAATTAAGCTAACGGCAACAGTAAAATTAAACAATACAAAGTGAAAACTACTTATAATTTTATTATTATAGTTATTATAACTACTGATAATTTTTTTTATGAAGTTCCATAAACTAAAACTTTATACCCATATGTTTGTACAACTAAATTTATAACATTTTCACATATTAAGAATACTGCATAAAGAACTAAGCCAAACCATTCAAGCTTCTCATGTTATAACTTTAGAATAAGCATAGCTTCTCATTGTGGTTTTGACTGGTTTTTTTAATTTTATCTAAAGCAGTGCTTTCTAAACTGTGTGTCAAGGCATTAGTATGTTGCCCACAGGGTGTAAGTGTGCTGCCCGAAAATAAGCCAAACCAACATTCATGCAATTTTAGAAATCAAAGTAGCCATTCAGATAGACGGAACTTGTAAAATTACTTTGTATCCCAGATTTTTCTCTACAGAAACACGCCATTTTCCAAATTAGTTAGCCATTTAAGGGACAAATTCAGTTATATATAAAGCCATAATTGTGCTCCACATTTAAATTTTTTTGCCTTCATTTGTGCAGTCTGTCTATTCTCTTTCTTGGGTTTTATTATAAATTTTAATTTGACATCTGGCATCAGTTTCACTGGCTTCTTTAGGAGGGCAACACAGGATTATTCTGACTCATTATCATTGCTGGTGCAAAGATTATCATGTTTAGATATTGTTAAAACAATATAAATATGTATACATCCAACTAGTGAGTCAACTTACGTTTCATACTGATTGGATGAACTTTTTCTGAACGAATTTGCTGTTGTGCTATATCCTTTTCATCCTTATAATCATATTCTTCTATATCTTGGGCAACTCTGTAATCATACAGAAAGTCTGTGCCTTGATCTTGAGTAGTCTTAATGGAATTCGGTTCAGAAAAATTAGATCCAAGTGAATCTAATGAATAATTTTGTGTTGATTTTAAACTAAATTCTTCAGATTTTACTGTACTTTGTTTTAAAGGATGCTCAATTTTACTACTTTCAGCAGAATTTCCTTTACCATCTTTATGCTTCAAAATCTCAGGTGCTGTCCTTTTGGATTCTTTGGTACTTGGCCCCCCATCAAAATCTTTTCTAAGATCATCCAGAAGTGACTTTAAATCTGGATCATTTTTTATCAAATCCTGTTCTATGACTATGTCTTCTCTACTTGAATCAGTTTCCTCATTTTTACTGCCTCGCCCTTTATCAGTGGAATATTTCAGTTGTGAACCACAACATTTGTAAGAACAAGCAAAATCGTTAATAACTTTGGTTCTATCCAACACACAAAGATGTAATTTGTGGCGTTTACTTGGTGTAAATGTATTTGAATTTATGGCTACTGCTGTCGAACTTGAAAAACAACGGGGCAAATTTTTTACTGGTGTAAATGCACGACAAAACTTAACTCCAATGATCTGACATTTGCAAAAAGATCGAATGGTATTAATGGGAACTTTATTCATGTTTGAAATAAAACGGATACAATTTATTCCAGCCGTAACATTAGTCGATGCCTCAAATAAAATTAGTAATTTTATGCCATCAACACATGTACTTTCAATTTCATCAAAACTTTGTTGTCGGTTGCAAGCTCTTGCTTGACCTAAGGGTGACACGGACGGTGGTGATAAATTTGGGTAAGTTTAAAATACGGAGTACGGAGTTGAAAAAAAAAGAAAAAGATAAATAAATTAAAACATAATTTGTATTATAAACCTTAAATTATGTAATTTGAAATATTAGTGGAATTATTTTTTGTTGAAATATACAATTCAACCAAATTATTTACCCATGAATGATTAGCAGCGACTTACGCGTTATTAATTATTATCATGCCATGTGGAATGTTGACTTGATAAAAATAAAATAATGTATACCCAGTCTTATTTTAATTTTAATAAAATAATAATTTTAAAAAATAGTTTTACTTCTAAATAAAATAATAAAAATGATTTTTACAAAATTTTTAAACAAGACTTTCTGTTAAAGACGAGTTAAATGCACTAAAAAGTAGAAAATACATTTAAATTTATTAAGAAGGGGGAAAGAAATTTGGAAAAACATGCAGTTTATTGAGCTTGTTTTGGCTATGCCCCCATTTGTTGTAAAGTTTAAAATTGTATAACAAACATACACGCAACCTCCATAAGCATAGTGACGCCGGGGCATCTGCCTACCAGTGGCTTAGATACGGCTAGCGTCGCCCGGGGCAGGCTAAGGGGGCCATCAATAAATGACGTCACACAAATTTTGCAGATTTTGGACCCCCTCCCTCCCTCATCGTCAAAAAAAGTTATACCCCACTCAAATATAACGTAATATATCTCTGCACCCCCCCCCCCTTATAAAAATTTCCTGTGTCCACTACTGTCCTCTACAAACCCTTAAGAATTTCACCTCCCTTGGCATCAAATTACGGCACTTGTGTCAGAAACATTTCACTAAAACAGTGGTTCTTAATCAGGGGTAAAAGTACCTCACCAGCCCTGAGGTGCGGAAGACCAGAACATTGTATTTGCTGCAATTGCTAGTTATTGCTGTTTTGATTAGCTGCAGTAAATGTTTTTCAGGTGAATTTTGTTAACGAATTACTTGTATTGTTAATTTTTTACCGTGTTTATAAAAAAGTTAATTAACGAATTAACACTACGATAACTAAATTATTTTCATATAATACATGATATTACAATATAATTTATACGGTTGGGGGATATTTAAAACTGATCGGGCCTGCAGCATTGCAAAAGAAGAATCCCTGCCCTACATCATTTACTAAGATCACTCCACCCCTTGGTCGACCATTTTATTCGTTCCATCAACTTCCCATGGTAGTCATAATTCTATGACTCTCGTCTCCACATTTTGACATAAATTCTCACAACTGTCAAAGTCACGACACCCATTTTCTCCTCCTCCTTGGCGTCCTGTATTTTGATCAGAGGCCATTTCTCGGACCTCCCATACCTGTACCGGTACTGATTCTCTCATTTATCGTAGTTTAAAAATAAAATAGTTATAATTGTTGTATCAAATAATAATGTTAAAAAAATCTATGTAATTTAGGGTTATTAAGTGCAGTTCTTAACTATAATATTCCGCTTTTCATGTGACGTCACATTGCTGAAAGCCCCTCCCCCCTTTTCGTCACAAAACTGTTACCCCCCTCCTCCCAGACGTGTAGCGTCATTTATGGGTAACCCCTAGTTATAAGAAAAAACTCTTCAGTTTCCCCATTAAGAAAAAGGTCTGTCCCCTCCATTCCCCCTTTCTACGCCAATGAGATATGCTTAGAAGTAGTTTTTATTTAGCTTGGTAAACAATATAGTAACATTAAATATGCTATATTTCATAGTAAACATGCTCTATTCTGATATTGACCATGTCTATAAGACTACTTAAGATAGACAGTTCAAATTAATTTCAAACACACTGATATATGTACTGAGATTAAAACCACGACACAACTCCAAACTTGATGGAGCAGTGATGATAAACCAGGAAAATCAGTAAGTTTTAACCTACAAGACAGTAAATGTTACAACCTCATTCTTCAACTAAACAAGCATATGATATTTTTTTTTTAAATTCCTGCAATGAACTTGTAGATTAATATTTAAGAAATAATCTTTTTAAAAAAAAATGTGCTAATTTTAGTAACTCCTAGACTTGCACAATAATTATAACTAAAAATAAAATAACCAGTGGCTTAGCCAGGTGTTGTAAAAAAAAAATATATTAATCATAATCTCTGTTTTTTCAAAAGGTGCACACATTGTCTAACATAATGCCTTAAGTTTTATTAACAGGTTTTTCAAGACTTGTATGTTGGCCAGAGACTTGTAAATATTGGTTCACATTTTTAAAAAAACATTTAAGATTTTATTAAAAGCATCTAGACTGAAATTTAAGACATTTTTGACATAACCAATAACCTTTAGACCTAGTTGTAAATCGTCCAAATTGGCAACATTGCATGAAATGATTGGTATCTGTCACTTGAAGTATAAATACTTGGCACAATTAACAAAAAAAGAAACATTATAAATAAAAAACAACAAAAAAACAAAAAACAAGCCATATTATTTTACAAGTCTCAATGTTTTTTTATTCATAAAACTTTTTCAATGACATGTTAATTGAAATAATTACAAATCAATGAGAACAAAATATATTAAATTAGTAGTGGTATCTGGTTTATTTGCCACAGTAAATAAACAACAACCACTCATATCAGGGGCTTGAAGAGAGAACAATTTTTAACACAAAACATTGCAGTCACTACAAGTAATATACAGGAATGAAATAACCTCTTAACTTGTTATGCAGTCATTTCACTCCTGCAAATTACTCCTACAGCAAAAGCTCCTACAGGTCAATTAATTTTTTTACTACTAATTAGTTAAATAATTCTCATGTTGGTTGTTTCTTTTTTAATTTTTCATATTCTACATTAAGGCCCATAACAGGTTTCTCATGGGCATATTGTGCATAATCTTTCTTGTCCTTCAGTAAATGTTCCACCTCCTCTGTCATCTCATCATCCTCATCGTCACTTAACATAGATGTATCATGGGCAGGCTTTTCTAGCACTTCAGAAAAGATGGCTTGAAATTCTTTTCCTGTTTAGATGTATGCAAAAGATGGAAAGGCTGGTTATATTTCTAAAAACCATTGAACAAAATTTGTTTAGGTTAACTAGAAACTGACAACAACCATGTAAGATACACAAAAACATAAATTCAAGCACTAAAGTAATTCTTGAAATTATCATAGTATAATTAAATAACTTCAATAATAAGTTTAAAATTAACAATTTGTAAATAATTTTCCAATATTTTCAAAAAATTAGTTTGAAACTACTTTTACCAACATTTAATCTGAGACCCTAATGAAACTTGTAACATCAGGGGTCTCAAACTCACGGTCAGCGGGCCATTTGTGACCTGCAAGATGATATTTTGCGTCCCGCAACATGACAGAATATTTAGTGTTAATGCGGCTCCGCGCGGTTTCCCCATTGTCATATCTATAATGTGACCCCCCATGACGGTTTCAGTCATATATATATACACATATTTCAAAATTTTAAAAAGTCAGTTAGTGGGTATTGAACAACCACAATTGTGTAAATCGTAGCAATCTGACACAATATCCAAGAATCCCTATTAAAATTGCCGCTAATGTTTACGAGAGAGGGAAATTCCGAACCATTCAGCTTGGTCACTTGCGCTGTCAGGTCTCTGGCAACAAGCAGTAGGAGGAAGAAAGTGAAGCCGAGTTCTTGAGAACCCTTAAAGCTTATGTTTTTGATAAAGTTTGAGCAGATTGTAACATTTTTACTTTAATGAATTTTTATTCGCTTTTTTGTGGAATACTTGATGCGGCCCAGTCTCACTCAGACTCTGCCTCCTGCGGCCCCCGGATGATTAGAATTTAAGACCCTTGTGTAACATGATTTGTTTTTCTAAGAAACAAATTCCTATTTTATATTTTATAGCTTTAAAAGTTTCATAGGATTTTGAAAAAAAGGATTTTTTTGCCTATGATTCTTCATTCACGTCTATTTTAATATTCAGCATTCATTCTGGTAGCTGTAACTGGTAAGACATTTGTAATTTCGGGTAGATAGCAGATTCTTCAACAAATTTGCCAAGCTGGTCACTGTCTTCTGTAATTAGCCGTTTTTTTAACAAAGGTTTACCTCTCACACTAAAGTAGATTGCATTACTTAAATGACATGCCCATTCCATATGACTCATTACCACTAGCTGGGGATGACCCCAGTCCAATTCGAACCAGCTAACTCCTGACCTAGATGCAGAAAAAGTTACCATTGTGCCATTTACATATTTATTTAATGAAAAACATTTCTGTCACTTTTGGCTGCTCTTTATCCTACTACGTACACCTCATTAAAACCACCCTCCCCAGTGCATGGTTGTCTATATCCTCAGGACCCACTTTTCTAAAATAAATAGTTCATAAAGAAATTCAATGCACTCTGTAACATACCTGTTCTTGGGTCTTTGTGATATTCTAAACGAACATTTTCAAACCCATAATTCTCAAGACATGTCAAATATTTAACTGGATCAGGATGGCCATCTTTCAAAAAACCCTTCCTCTGCAATTGTAAAGGTAAAAATGATAAGTTAAGTTTATGCACTCATTCATTATGAAAATTTGGTTGACAAACTCTGTAACCTCATACGAGAAATAAAAAAAACCAACATATTTGTCTGCAGAAATATACAAAATATTATAATTTTAAAATTATTCTATTTCGAACCAAGTATGGTAAGACCAGTCTTAAAAACTATAAATTACGAAAGAAATTGTATTAAGAAACTTCTAAATGGTGCTTCTAAAAAAAATGAGCCTAATCAGACTATTAAAATGCAAACTTCATATTTCACTTATGTTTGATTTGTTAACAAACCTGTGATTCTTTTAAGTTATCTATACTCAATGTTGTGACCATGATTCCACCAGGTTTCATAACTCTGTAAATCTCTCTCATAACTGATCTCATGGTTGGCCAGAAGTAATAACAATTACAATGAAAAACACGATGCACTGAGTCAGTGTTTAAAGGGATATTTGTTGCGCTGCCATGAAAAAGCAAGACTTTTTTGTCTTTAATCGCTTTATCCAGCTTTTTACTGGCAATGTTCACCATGTAAAATGAAGGATCAATGCCATACACTTTTCCTTTACCATCTAAAGAATATTGAAAAAAGAAGAAGAAGACATTAATAAATGATGTTACATGGATTATTAAAGAAACAATCAAGAGATTAGGTTGTATACCCAATTGTTTTCCTTGAATGTTGGTTTACAATCACCTATTTGGTGGTCTCCAAAGTGTAAAAAATGTAAGATCCTTCAAATTGATCAGTCATCAATAAATTGGACCCTATTGCAGTGGTAAGCAACAATGAGAATTTTGAGAATTACTGACTAATTTTTATATATAAATTAAAGTATGATGACAGCAGTGACTATTACTCTTAGGAAAAATAACAGTTCAATAATATATCATTGTTTTTTTCCTTCTGATTGAATTTTTTTTTTTTCATTTAATGTTTACAATAGATTTTAGGCTATGGTCATTAAATAATTAAATAATGATATATTATAATACAAGGGAAATAATATTCTTTGTGATTTTTATGTTTAAAAGTAAATGATAAGCACAAATTAACAAACAAGTTAAAGAGAGTGCAGCACATTACTCATTAGGATTTTAAAATATTTTTGAAAATATGAGCATATAAGTTTCTGAAAGAATTCAGATAAAATAAAAATTACATCTTAAAGTTTGACTAGGAGATATGCAGGTTTTAAAGTGTACATGGATATTATTCAAATATTTCTAACATTAAATTATACAATTCAATTCAAGACAGAATAAATTTAAATCTAACTTAGATGTCTCATAGACTGTGTTCACAAATGTTTCAGTGAAACCTAATAGTTGTTAATAAGGAAATTCACTAGTAATTGTTGCCCACAGGATATTGTGTTTTATTGCGCGCTGTGTGTTTTTGAGCGAGTAAGTAGTTAATGAAGGACCTTCCCCCATTAACTTGGTGACTATTTTTATGGTAATTATGACTATTGCCTAGACTGTCTTTGGGTAAGTGCATATTTGTCATCAGTCATTTAAAGAACTTTGTAGCAGATAGTTGTGTATTATTCTCTTTTATAGCAAGCTGCACTATACATTTGTTTAATTAAATGTACAACCTGTTAGATATATTTATAGATTAAAGATTCAATGCTAATGAAAAAAAAAACTGGTGATTAATTTGGTGTTATTACGACTTATGAACAATGTGTAAAAGAATCTAATGAATTAAATTAAACCAATCAAATATCTGGAGCATGACAATAGTACATTAGATGAACATGAAAACTTACTTTTAGTGATTTTATGAGCAGCTTCAAGTCCAAGACCTGGACCAAAACCTATTTCTAACACATGATGGTCAGGCTTTATTTTACACAGACGTACAGCATTCTCTTCCAAAAATCTGTTACGCCTTATCAGGAATTGCTGGCAAAAAAAACAACAACAAAAAAGTTAAATTACCATTTTAAAAAATGACTGCTCAAAATTGAACAGATTACCTAAGATTAACTGTTTCTCAAACTGCAGATCACAACCCAACTCTTCATATAAATTGCAAAAAGAAAATTAAAGTGGCACCTAAGCATTAATTGAATTGAGACAGTTATTTCATTACAAAATTATTATTTACATAATTTTAACCCATGGTCAGTTATAATTTAGTCTTATAAAAATAATATAATAATTACAGTTGTGATCCATCCAAAAACTCCTTTCTGTGGAAGTCGTAAGTTCTTTGCTAATTGATCTGTATACCACAATTTTAGTCTTCCTGCCATGAGTATTCTTCTCTATTCAAAGCCTGCAATAATAAAGTAAAAAACATATATTACTTTCGCTGACCTTTTCAAATAGTATATTGAAATATTTGAGAGGTTAGAAAAAGTAATTCTTCAAACTGATTGACCTAGCATAAAAATCATGTGAAACATTACAACATATATTTCTTCAAAAAGCCTTCTTCAGCTAAGTTATAAAATAATACAGACATTTTGTTGTGTGTTTCATCTTCTCTACCCTATGATTCATAATATTTCCTATTGCACAACTTGATAACATTCTTCCCCTTGTTATACTTTAAATTTTTATAAGAATAATTTTTATTTATAATAGAAATATACTCCACCCACCTTAAGCCATACAAATTTACACCTAAAAAATATTCTGCTTCCTCGCCACTCTCTTGTCCAAAATTTCTGACTCCCCATTCATGCCATTGGCCAAACCACTGTTATGTCTGTAAAACTAGTCAAAGGAAGTTTTAAGAGTATTGAGCTAGCCATCCACAAAGGATGTCACACTGCTTTGGCAGATTTTTACCCCCTCCCCCCAATCATTGTCACTAAAGGCTTTGTAAAGTAAAAAAAAAGAGGCAAATGAGGCATATATTCATATAATACGCTCCTTCTACTTCCATGGGCCCACGTTCTGGAACCAGCTCCCCTTCCATATCCGTCATTGTGAAACCTCGTCCACTTTTAAAAAGTCCCTTAAAACCCATCTGTTTAGGTCCGCCTATGACCTGTGATGCACCCTCCTTGCCCTGCCTCATTTTCTGTCTCGGGTTAATCCTGTAGTATAGGCCAAAACGTGCCAAAGTGTCCTCGTTTTATAGCCATTTTAATTGTTTCTATAGTATAGTAGTTAGTATCCTAATGTCTCATTTTTATTTTAATTAGTTTACATGTTTTTAATCATTGTAAAGCGCTTAGAGCTTTAAGGTAAGCGCTATATAAAAATGCCTAAATAAATAAATAAAATTTATGAGGGCCCATCATCAAAAGATCCAACTTTTTAGTTTGAACGAAGTTGTTGTGACGTAATGTACAGTAGTGATAGAAATCTCCATATATAACAAGGTTAAAGTATCGTTTTGGGGACTTTAATTATACTTTTCAATCTTTAAATCTAAAAGCCTATTTAATTAATTATATGTACAATACTGAAATTTCTTACGTATGAACCGTTAAATTTTGTTTACTTATTTTGGATCATTTTTTACCTTCCCCACCCCACTCCCTCATTATAAATCATTAAAAAATTAAGAAATAAAATTAGCCACCCTTGTCACAAATATTTAATGGCAGCATAGATAACAAATGTCAAATTTTTTTAACCCCTGCCAGGCCTTGCGTACAGATTTTGGAAAATTATTTGGTCCAGCATGTTGCAGAGTCAACTCTGATAAACTACCATGCTGAACAAAAAAGTTTGAAAAAATTGAAATTCCTGGAAAAAGTCATCAAACCAGTTTCCAGCCCCCATCATTGGGTCCAAAAATAAAATAAAAATTTGGCTCTAGAGCAAACTGGTTCAGCTAATAAAGTTTTACAGAATGTGATCTTTCATCTTTGAAAACTCCAGAATGCTAAATTTCGTTGCGGCAACCCTTACAGTTGGGGTACACCACATGCTTAGTTAGGTGCATGAACATATTCTATTTAATATAGTGAAGCACCACATGAATTTTAAACTTTGCGTCTTGAAAATTATTGGTTACTAATTATTGCTCTTTATTGCATTTTACATTGCAGGGGTTGTCAGAATTTTCATTATGACAATGTCATAATGCCTATGGCACATACATCAATTTATACAATTTAGGTAGTTGGCAAACACTATCTTGGTACGGCACTATTTATTTCTCTACTGCCTAGGGGCATCCACAGGTCTTATTCCTGACACACTGAGTGTGAGAGTCAGCAGTAGGCCTAGCTAACTAAGAGTAAGTAAGTACTAATCTAAGTAGTAAGAAGCTTATAAGTAGGACCAAGTCACCAATGTCTTTAACCTAAGAATCTAAGATTAACAATCATTAACAATAACAGTAACAGGGCCAGTATAAGACTTGGTTAGGCCTATACTTACTAACATATTATTATTATTATTAATTCAGACTAAACTCTCTATTTAAGGTCCTAATGGGGTAAAAATAAAAAAAGAAAGTAGTAACTCAGTTTGACTCCTATTATTAGAATAATAATTGCAAAAGAACTGATTAATTAAGTTTATGAGAATTAGAAGAGGAGCCAATTCAAATTGCCAATTCAATAGTCAATAGTGCAAGTGCAATAGTCTGCCAATGGCCAGTAGAAGAAGTCTTAAAACTAAGAAGAGTACGGTACTATTTGGCTTAGCACTTTACACTATTGGAATATGGTGCGATCATCTGGGACCCACACCTTAAGCAAGACATGGACACGATGGAGCGAATTCAACGTAATGCGTTTTATCGTTCGAGACTACAAATCCACCACTCATGGCTTCGTCACTGGCCTCTTAAAAAGATTTGACATCCCACCCCTTAAAGACAGGCGAGAGGGACTCCGCCTGATATTCTCAAATAAAGTGATCATGGGACTGGTGCCGGCCATCCCAGCAGGCACGTACCTCACCCCACAGAAGCCGGGTAGACTGATCAGAGCAAAACGCTCACTGAACACTGACGTCACCACTGACATTCCCATAAACAATTACACCAGAAACAATAGCAAATGCTTCAAAGTACCTCAGTGCAACACAGTGCAGTATCAACAATCTTTCTTCCCAGCACAATACTAGCATGGAACCACCTGAACGATGCCACTGTGAACTCGACATGGTGGAAAGCTTCAAGGATGCCCTGGCATCAGCTAGGAGCTGTTAAAATAGCAACATCATATCCCCAACCGTTGCAAAGATGCCAGTGCCAGTACATAGTACATGGATGCAGCAACGAAACATTACCAGAACCAGAACACTCTTCTTGGTTTCATTTCAAACTTTACTTTAAATTACACTGGCTCCTCACTACACACTTGAATACTGCACGAGAGTAGTGGCAGTGTGCTGCAGACTCTGCTGCACAGTGCACACAGTACAGACACTGACACAGTATACTGTTAAATTATAAAAATTTAAGATTTTAAATATTAAGAGAAGACTGAGTCAAAAATGTATTGAGTCACATCTCCATAATTTATTTACAAGCAAATCCATTGAACGATATGTTATCATACTGTCTGATTTCATTGAATGAATTAATAACGCTAATCAAATGTTCAGTAATTTATAAATAACATGATTTCTAATTACCACATCCACGTTGTTTACAAACAGCTCTTTCAAGGCTGCCATTTCCTATTGACCTTGGCCTACATTGTCAGGAATTACTAAATTTAATAAATTACATATATTTTTGATTCAAAATCAACTGATTAAATATATTTTTAGAAAAATTATATGTTTAGAATGTATTTATGAAAATTGTTTAAAAGCTTTTTGAAAATGTTATGCGAAAGATGTTGCTTCCCCGGATGTAATATGGCGTCAACCCAGACGAACGCAGACACATAAAGTTGAATGAAATTTCAAAGTATCCCATCCAAATAGGTTCCTTTGCATTGCATTTTGCTATTGTTCTATAGCATTAATGGTAATGCATGCAAGGAAACAGCCCAGACTCAATGATGGGTAAAAAAACATTACATTGGCTAAATTAATGCCGCTAATAGAAGTATTGGCGGCCATATTTGTTGTGTTTTGGATTGTTCTAACGAAATATTTTCCTTTTTGTTTCAGACACCGCCCTTCTTGCATCGATATTATGCAATAGATGTTCTAATACATATTCAAGAACGTGAGATTTCATTCACGGAATTCATTTTAACATTTTTCTGTGTATGACAGTTCTAGTCTTCAGTTACTTATCACTTGTTAGTGAGGAAATAATCAGAAAATGATAGCCTCAAACTCAAATCAAATTCAAACTTGTCATTTCAGGTCCTAATGATTATGATTGCTTAATAACACCATTACCCTCAATTTACTTGAATTATTAAACTCAGCTAATCACAAATCCTATCCCTGAATCTTTAATAAGTCAGGAAATCTGGTCAAATCTCGCATAATTGAAAATGGGACAAGTTTTAGTGAATCTTGGAACATTTAGACTCTTAGACCTTTGAGTAATCTATGATCGTTTCTGTTGCTATAAAAATTACAGTTTCATAGCATTGTGAAGATTAATGGAATAATTATAGTTTTTATTGCTATAACTGTTTCCATCACTTTGTACTCTAGTGCACCTGCTTAGATTTTGAAAAAAAAAATTTGGAGTTATTCTTACAAATGTATCCTCTTTTCATTTTTTAAATCTCAAATGTGTGTATATTAAAGGTAAAGGACAAAATTTCAAATTATTTTATCAAGTACACAAAAATATGAATAATTTGTAATAAAATGTACCTTAGGTTCATCTCAGTGAATTCAGATGAATCCAGGAATATATTAGGTTTTGTTAGTACTAGTAAGGAAAATACTGAATAAGTAGCCTTAGTGATTTCAACTTTCTTGAATATATACAATATTTCAAATTAACTTGATCATCAATCTTGACTAACAAAACATTCTTTTCTTATGCTTTGAAGAGATTTTCATTACAGAGCCTGTTTTTTTTATCTCTTTTAAAAGTTTCGATTAATGGCTGTTAGTTTAAAAATAATTGCTCTGAGTGTAAAAATTGAGGTTCTTGTCATATTAATTGTTTTTCACATAAATATTGTTTTCTTATACACCCAGTGAATAACTATTTTATTTTTATTATTTAAGGTATGCTGACAGAAAAGACGCCCATCTGCATCAGGTAGTTAAATATTTTATACATACAGAAGTAATATATATAATTTTTGTAAATGATAGATGTTTTGTAGGGAACAAATATATATATATGTACAGTTGAAATGCTTTTTTTATGAAACCATTGTTTTGTTGAAAATAAGCTTGTAAGTTATATCAAAATTATTCATCTTTGTGTCATTTGTCTACTGATTTTTAAAAATCATATCAGGACATGCAGTATCATAGTTTATTTGCCGATGACAGTGATGACGACGGACCACTTAGCAGCCGTGTTAATTCCCGCAATCAGAACAAGTCCACTTATATTGAGAGAAATAAAGAAAAAAGAGGTATAACTAGTAAATTAACATTCTCTTTCTTTAAATTTTGGATTTCAGAAAAATAATAAACATAAGATAAAAAGCCAACTTATAATTTGATAAGACTATGAAAGATTTACACAATACCATTTTTGTTTTCAGATAAACAGTTTGTTACTAAAAATCAAACTTAAATTTTAAATAGGAAATTGATATTGTGGTCGGCATTCATTTTGATTTCAATATTTTTGAATATTTTCTTTCAGGCTCCCTTAGTCTTGCAGAAAAAAAGGTCAGTCACTATTTGGCCACTGGAAGCTTGGGACGTCCCATCCCCATGGAAACCAGTTTTGTCTTTAGTGGAGAGCCCAGCAGTGGCAGTATTGGCTCTGACCTACATAAGCCAACAGCAGCACCAGTGGGTCAACGCAAGGAACGTTCCGGGAGTCAAGGAGAAAGAGGGATTAGAGAATACAACAGCTACCCTGGCTCAAAATCAGAATACAAAAGCTCCACACCATCATCTTCATCACAACACACAGAACATAGAATATCTTCACTACCAGGTGCAGTGGAATACAACAGTCATTCAGAAAAAGATAATAAAACACCTTCTTCATCATCAGCATCTAATAATGGAAAGCAGCCAATCTCATCAAACAAAGAGCATGGAAAAGATAAAGAGGTATTATATATTTATTAAGTGTGCTTCTGAGCCAGAGTTTTGGTCTATTAACAATTCTTACTTATTAATTTGTTGAGTTAGTTTATAAGGCTAGGCGCTAGAACTTCCTGTAAATAATGTTCATTAGAACATGACACAGCACCTAAAAATTTAACCATGGTGCAGTCATTACCCATTTAAAGGTGGATGATGGTTTAGTAAATAATTTAAAAAACATTGGAATTTTTGTAATTTTCTCTTTATAAAAGAAAAAATTAAATCTAAATCTAAAAAATATTATTTGTTTGTTTTTAAAAAACTAGAATTAGAATCCAATTTGATAAAAAAATAATTTATAAAACAAATATAATTTTTAAAAGCATTTTAAAAAATAGTCACCTATTAAAATGAAAAGTGGAGTCATTAATCTGTTATGGCTTATGTTCTATTTAAAACAATAAGGTTATAAAGTTTTTACAGTATACAATAAAGAAGTTGATTTATTCAAGTGGTTCTTCTTGGTGACACACAATAGACACACAGTCCTAAATTCAGTCAGTTCGGTATCTGAGGCCAATTCTAGCGTCTCCATCTTTGAAGGCATCCGTCAGCATTGCGGAAAACATGAGGCTGAAAAGTCTTGGGGCAAATACACAGCCTTGTTTCATGCCAATTTTTTACAGGGAACGGTTTGGATGTCTCTCCTTTATCCCGAACTGTAGCCTGCATACCATCATGGAATAGTTGTACCATTGACACAAACTTCTTAGTGCATCCATATTTGGCCATGATCTTCCAAAAGCCCTTTACTGACAGTGCAGATCTGTTTACTCTTACTATTTTGGCGTACAATGTACGATTTTGAGGTGTAGACCATATACATTATACATACTCCACGGTTTTTTTGTTTCTATAAAGAGAATGTATTGGACGATCATGTGATGATATTGTACGATTTAAAGAGTTTGAGGCTAAACAGGTCTGACAGTGTCGAAAGCTTTGGTCAGCTCTTCAAAGGTAGAGAAGAGGTCAACATTTTGTTCCCTGCATTTTTCCTCTATCTGTCCGCAAACACCATATTCGATAGTTCCTCGTTCCTTCTGGAAGCAAAATGGACTTTCTGGCAGTAGACCCTTCTCAAGATGCCTGAGATGCCTGTTAAGACGGTTTAGCAAGATTCTGGCTAATATCTTGCCTAGAATTGAGAGCAGTGATATGCCACGGTGGTTCTTGCATGATTGGCGGTTCCCTTTATGCTTGTACAGGTGAATAATAGATGCATCTTAGAAGGCCAATGGAATGGTCTCTTGCTGCCACATAAGTATGAACAGCTGGTGAAGCCTTTCAGACAGAGCTGTCCCCCCTTCTTTGTATACTTGAAAGGATTGAGTCATCACCTGGTGCTTTGCCTCTTGAGAGAAGGCATATAGCATGTTGGGTCTCAGTTAGGGTAGGGGGTCTTCCAGTTCTTGATTGAATTGCACCTGTATGAGATGATTGAAGGCTTCATCATTAACAGATGAAGATAGATTCAGGATATTGTCAATGTGTTCAGCCCAGCTTAAAATAAATTTTTCCTTCTTAGTGATAAGAGATTTCTCATCAGCACTCAGAAGTGGGGATGATCCTGATGAAGTGGGGCCGTAGACTGTTTTCAGAGTGGAATCGAAATTTTTTAGGTCATGCCGGTCCGCATAGCCTTGGATCTCGTGGGCCTTGTTGCTCAACCATTTATTCTGCTTTATATGCAGTTTCTGCTGCACTGTTCTTATACTGAGGTACGCATATTTCATTGGGACTGACCTGGGGTTGTTTAGGGAAGCGTGGTTGAGACGGTGTTTTTCCTCCAGCAGTTGCTTCATTAACAACAGTTATCATCAAACCATATCTGGAGCAGGAGAAGACCGTTTCTGTTGCACTGGCCCACTCCATACTTTCCCAGAGTCCAAAGTGAACCAGAACTGTATCAGAAGAAAACAGTTTGACTTTTTTAAAAAGCTTTTTCTTTTTCTGTTTTCCAGCACCATGATACATTCTTTTTAGTTAATAATACTAACTGTGGTCGAGTGGTGTAAACTCAAGTCAATCCCCACCAAAGACCAAGTTGAGCAAAAAAAAAAAAAAAGACCACCCCATGTGGCAACTCATCTAACAGAAGAAAATTCTGAATCAAAATCCGGAGAAGGGGTCCCTTAGATGGATACATTAATACAATGGAAATTCTGACAACTCCTGCTGTAATTTGTAATCTTCATTGGGCTATCCAGGGGCATGGAGAGAAGCGATTTTTCTGTCTAGGGAACCAGCTTATAGTCCTAAAGAAAAAAATCCCAGGCCTTGGGATTGAAAACAGGGGCTCGATTACATATGACAGGTGTGGTTTAAAACTGCATTTGGCCAATGAATGACCATAGACTGAAAATATCTGTGGGGGCTGGCATGGTTATATGCTTGATAATTTATGCCGTAAATATTCAATTGATTGTGGGCCAAAAATACATTTTTCCAACCTGCAATTAAAGCCATTTT